AACCCTGACGAACACCACTTTCTGCGGTGAACTCAGGCGAAAAAGTGTCGTGAGCTCGGACTCGGCTTCGGCTATTAGTATAGAGGGATCGTAATATAGAAATAAACTTCTCGGACACACCCTTCAGAGAAAGGCAGCGCCAGAGTTTAGAGCGGTGGTCTGAGTCGAAAGCCGCTTTCAGATCCAGGAAGATAGAGATGGCCGGTCTACGAAAAGAATGTCGGTGATCCAGCATTTGGTGAAGAGTGAAGATGTGGTCGATACAACCTCGACCAGGCCTAAAAGCAGTTTGGTTCTCGCGCGTACACAGTTTACATGCGGTAGACAATTGACGGTGTGATGCCGGCGAGAAGTTTAGAAGCAATGTTGATTAAACTAATCCCTCTGTGGTTTTCACAAGAGGACCTGTCGCCCTTCTTGTAGATTGGTATGATCACCGATTCACACCATTCATTTGGAACCTGTTCCCTTTCCCACACTGAGCCCAGGAGTTTCGTTAACACAAAAACCAAGGTTGAACCTCCATCCTTAAAAACCGATGGGGACAGCCCGTCGGGGTCGTAAGCCTTATATCTTTTGAGATAGATTATTTCTCGGATAACCTCCATTTCAGATGGAGGACTGATGTCAACTGGCAGTATTTGCACAGTTGAACCGGATATAGAGGTCTTGTATCGACGAGGATCAGATGAACTAGGCCTTAAAATGTTTGGCCCATCGATCTAGACGGCGTTGCTGAATATGTATCAGTGTGCCGTCAGACTCCTTAATTACCTCACTTACGCCTGCTTTCCTTGGACCAGTGCTCCTAATTAAACAAAAAAAGCTTGTGACTTCTACCGATAACCATAGCCTTCTCCACCTCTCTACACTTTCCTACCCACCACTTCTCGCGGTCATTCCTCAGACTCTTGATGAGCTGGCGTTCAAGGGATTTGTGCGCTTTGTCGTATTTTGAATCCGAAGGAATGGATTTGCGAGCTTCCAGCAGGGTAACCGAGGTCGGGGAGATCCATCGTTGTTTATTTGATTGTGGGCCAGAATCTGACGTTGTTTTGACTGACATTTGGATCGCTTCCTTGATTGCCGTCCTCCGGCTGATGGTTGAGTTGAGAGGCGATCTGATAGTTCCGCTTCGAGGGCCGATTTGCAACCATTTCTGACATTGTATTGTGCGCATTCGTTTTCGGTAGCTTTTTTGCGGTTGTTTACTATGTGTGGGGAGAATCTCGCTCGTAGCGGGGCATGGTCCATGTCCACGGTTGTTGATCAGTAGGAGAGGCAGACTTGAATCGATCCTCGCTAGTGGTGGCTGATGGCGATGTGGGTCCAGCGCTGTGAAGAAGTTAGCGGTTTCCATGTAAGGCGGTGCCGTTTTTGTACGCGAAGTTCGCACTTGAATGAAACAGTCCATGGTCAAAAAAGTTGGAGTAGGCGTTTTCTGTTGTCAATCCTGTTTGCTGGGATTGCATGTGAACCACCAAGAAACCTCTCTGATTCGTCCAGGGATCCCACCTAAGCATTGAAGTCTCCAGCGACTACCACAATGTTTGCTGACCGAGCACTTTTGAGCAGTTGAGAGGTTCTTGTAGAATTCATCCTTCATTTCAGGTGTACTGCAGTCTGTCGGTGCATACACGGATACGGCGAATAAGCATCGACGCTTCGTTCTGTAGCTGTTGACCCGTACTGAAACATCCAGACGCACGGTGCAGTCGGCCGCTAACCGGGATCCAATCGAGAAAACGCTCGGCCTAGATACTCAGTGCAATCCCAACACCATCAACATCGCGAGCTTCGGATGCCGAATCGCCTGACACACCAAGGGTGAAGCGTGAGGTTGAGGTGGGATCAGCAGAACGCAGGGAGATAATGGAAGTAGGGTCTTCTATGCGTGTTTCGGAGACACAGCATACACCTAAATGGAAGGTTTCAAGGGTTCTAGCTAAGGCAGCTTGTTGGCCGATCTGGTAGAGTGTGCGGACATTAAATGCGGCTAAGTGAAACGGAGACTTTGGTTCCAAAAATCTGATAGCCTTTGAGTGGTTGGCCTCATTAGTTGAACACTGAGTGATATACCATGGGTGGCGCAAACAAGATACAAGAGGCTTGGGACTGAGAAGAAGTGGACTGTTCAGAGAGATGGTTTCCAAATGAGTATCTATCTAAGACTTTTGGGCACTGCATACTTTGCGGTTGCCCACACCGACGAAGGGGTTTTTCTATGTGAACCCTAACCGGAGCCTTCGACTCAAAAGTTTGACTCACAAGGCAGCAGGGCGTAAATCCAACGCGGGAGCGAGAGCGGAGCATCAGTGTGAGAGCTTCTAGAGACCTGTCATGCAAGGCCTTTGGGTTTAGGTTCCGTGTTGGTCGCTGGTGCGTTATCGATCCGCTTTTCGGGAAAGGCCTTCAGCCTCATGAACCCAGTGAGACAAGTGGAACGTGAACGGGACAGCACCTTATTGGATGGGTTGAGGTTTCAGACATGATTGGATCTGCGGATGTGAGGATCCACTCTGTATAGCTCGCAGTTTCATCGAAGCGTGCAAGCCATTACACCACGCCAAGATGCAGTTTCGTCCTGACGGACCATACTGTGGCCTTCGGAGGAAAACATTTGATGGATTGGTTTTATATATGGGCGCAAGGGGACAACTTGTGGCTGCAAAGGAACCGCTCTGGACCGCGATTGAGGGGAACTTGTTTCGCTTCGTGGTGAAACCGGTTGATTCACACGGTGGTAAGCTGAAATATCACAAATGCTTTAAAAAGCACTGGACAGTGACATCCCCAGAAGTAGATTTCCGATGTACTTGAACCTACAGGTGATTTCATAAACTCCAATACTGTGGTACTGGACCAGACTACAGTGCGATTGCTACATCGTTTCACGTCGTCTGGTCCCTCTTCCCGTGACCTGAAACAGAAAAGTTTCTTTAATCCTCGCTGTGTTTTCATTGGAGCATTTCCAGCGATTTGTGCAGCTTGAAAACCTTCAACCTAACGCTAGACTTTTATACAACCTCGCCATTATCGGCTCATAGCGATATGGCCGGCCTGCGTTTGTCGCTAACTCGAATTACACCGTTCGCGAAGGCCAGAGACACCAGTGGAACAATAACAGAGACCTGTTGGACACCATTGGTGACTGGAGACCATACAAACTGCATCTGTGAAGGTCTCACCGAGAGGGACCTCCCTTTCAGAGAACCCTCTAACCAGCGAAGGGGGAATTTATATGCTTCAGGTCGTGGGTGAGTGAATCAAGACGATGTGAAACCATGAAGCAATCGTAATATATTCCTCTCATCATAAAAATAGAATGTCGGCGTTTTGGAAGATAAGGAAGCTCGCCGGCAACAAAAGTCTCGGGCACTCGGTTGGCAAGTGCCGCAAACCGTCCATTGCGAATTGGACTGAATGTTCAGTACTGAACGCAATATGTGAAGATCGTTTCTGACGGATACTGCCAGATTTCGGATGGGCTTTTTTGATGGTATAACCACTTTTATGTACACTGACTGATCGATCATTGGGGTTTGAGGTTATACACCAGCCGATGAAATAATCGTATTATTCTGACAAAAAATTCCTTGACTGAGAATCGTTAATTTTACCACTCCCCGGTACTATGTGTATACAAATGTACGTTGAATAACCTGAGGCATATACGTTGGAAAGGAATGTAAGAAACTAGCGAAAGGTCAAGCATGATTTGATATTCAACGGGAAAATATTACTCAAAAGTTTTTAAAATTTTAAAATTTTTACGCGATATATAAATTCAGATCAGTTCGGTTTGCACAGGGCAGGAAATGGCCACGGCCAATCGAGCGTCCAGAGTTCTTTCGGTGGTATGCACAGGTCCGGCACCCACTACTGTATCCAGTAATGCGTCAGTTCTCCTGTTAAAAAAGAAAGGAAAGAACAACTCATCTCACCTGCTCGGCGAGTGACGGTAATGTATGTGAGCGCTCAACAGATGCCCTAATGGGTGAG